AAAGAAAAAAAAAGGAAAAAATCTCTCCATGCACGGAGAGTAAATCACCCTCCATGGATGGAGAGCCTCCTCCATCCAATGATCAAAATTCAATATTTCAATCTAATAGACGGAATCATTTCAACTTCCAATCCATCAATATATCAACACCCTCATCAAGTCTAACACCATTGCACTAAAACTCAACTTATATTAACAGTAGTGGTACAAGTCATGAAGATGAGAGAGAGCTACTACAACAACATGTTAAATTTCGATATTCAAGATTTATTGGATGCAAATGAATTTATGTAACTTCACTAAGAATGAATTTATCTTAGTTAAATGTTTTTCAAATCCTCTGTGCTTGGCTTGGACATAATCTCCTGTTAAATTAATTTCTTTAACGCAATTTTTGCTATTTTCCGACAAGGAAACAACGTTCTTTAAATGGTTGTTCGTGCTCCTTGTGAAAATTTCATCATTAGCTTAAAATCCAAAATTATTTCTTATCTTGTTTGTCACGTGTCTTACTCTATTCATATATTAAAATTATTTTTGTATATATATATAAATATAAAAGCCAATTCAAAAAAGAAAAAAAAAAAGGAAAAAAATTACACATTAAACTTTAGAGAAGAGAAGAAGAAATAAGTTGTGATTTCTGTGAAATGAAATAAAAGTAAAGAACTTCGGGTGAGAAAGTGGAAATATCACTGTACCAATTAGACAAAACTAAATACGGTGTCGTTTTTGCTCAAATACCAGGGAAACAAACGAAATGGCTACAATGCGATAAAATGGAATAAATAAAAAAAATGGCTACAGTGAAATAAAATGAAACAATTCACTGTTGATTTTTATAGTAACTCCACAGTCTTCTTTTTATACAATAGGGAAACAATTACTGTCTTGTTCCTAATAGGATTTCGTACCCCCTGCTCCAAGAATTACATCAAACGTGAAGCAAAACTCGCAATTCTTAAGACTATTCTGTACTTGGCTGAATCCCATAATGTGTTTATGGTTGATGATGCAGGAACGTAATGATGATTTTCAATCTGACTAGTAATTTCATATTTTATTTTTATAAATTTTAAATATAAAGAATCAGGATCGAACCTAAATTTAGTTGTTCAATTTCGATTCAATTCTATAATTAAATATGGAATTAATTGTTCAATTTCTATGATGTCCATTGGTATTCAATTCGATTTTCTTTAGAATATGATTGAACCAGACCTCGCGCCACTTCTAAATTTTAATCTTAGTCAGATCCTCCTCATCCATTTCTTGCACTTATTCTCTTTTGGCTTAATCTTTGGAGTGGAAACAGTTAAACCATTTTATCAATCAATGACTTTTGCACCTCAATGGTGTGTTTCAATGCATGGGTAATGTTTGTGGACGGGAGGTGGTCGAAATTCTTTTGGTCGCTTGATCTCACCAATTTTTAAGGTAAAAAAATCCTATAAAATTTTGTGAAGTATATGCATTAAAAATATGGACACTAATGTAATTAATAAAGTTGGAGAAAAAATGTGTAACGACGTTTATATTCCCTTAAGAAAAATCTGAAAATGTTACGGCCGGGCCACGGCAAAAAGAAGTCGACCAGTAAGGACGCGGAAACTGCTAGAGTCGACGGTTGACTCGTAAATCAAAATCAAGATGTACAAACTACAAAGCATTCCGTTTACTCGAATTGTCAAATTCAAGACGGCCAATCGCATTGCTCTATAAATTCAAATGAGATTCTTGAATTTCTAGAATAACAGAATTGAGACATACTATTTTTTCTTTCCCCTTAAACACTAAGGTATGACAATTAAGCGGATGCAATAAGAACTTTTAAAATACAACAACTGTATGCTTGATAGTTTAGATTAACCAATATTTGAAAAAAAAAAAGGTTTAAATTATTAAAAAGAAATTGTAGTTTAAAAGCAAAATAATCGTCGTCTAATTGAAGATTCTGTAATAGAAAATTTTGCTTTGTATCTAAGATTTTATCAATTTAATATGAACAATTTGATTTTATTAAAAAACGTTTGATTGAACCACTTACCCTTGGGCAAAATAAGGGCGAGGACACTTAAATTATAGGATTCAAATTAATTCCTGTTTATTAATTTGTGAGAGGTGATTGCATGCTTTTCAATCGTTCTCTTTCCCTCTCCTACTTTTACTGTCAATGGGGAGCGTAATTTTGGAATAATTCTCTCATCCAGGGCCACATGCGTCCCCTCCAATAGGGGCACCACATAAGCGCCTTGGATTTCTAGCATTGTTGAGTAATTTTCTATCCCAATTCAAACCGAATCCAATCGAAATGAGATTTTCGCTCTTAAAAGGGCAATAGAGAGAGGACATGAATCAAGAAATTAGAATTGGATTGAGATGTGGATCAAGGTCTCGTCTCACAACCCATCGCATCAAGCTCCTATTCGATGATCATTATTTTGGGGGG